GGAATATGCCTACATGTATATTATATATACAGAGTATCTCATAAGTAAAGACAAACATTTAAAGAGTTGTTACAAATTGCAGGAGTTGTAAAAAGTAAAAAATATTTTTTTCAGATGATGTTAATTAATAAATGATGAGCCATTACTCTAAAGTGATGTCGATGTCCTATATTTATTGTAGCATGAGGATTTTCATTTGTCCGAATTTGGCTATTTATAAGATATAATATCCTATTCATTCCAGTTGTTACTTTTAAGAAAAAACTAAAAATCTTCTCCATCTGAAGTAGGTTTTTCTTCCTTGATTCTCTAAACGCTTCGATTTGGGGCCCGAAAGCAGGTTTACCAATTACCAACAGGACGTCAAAACTAATAATAAAAAAAATCAAATCCTTCATCTTAGTTAATATAGACCCCACGTCGGAGAACAAATAAATTAAAGTTTAGAAATATTTTGTTGTAGTTATTTTTACTGAAGTGGCAGGTATACAGGAGTGACAGAGTATTAATTCACATAATGTTTTACACATATTCACATAACAGAACTATAGGTGAATAAATTTTCCCTTTACTTACACACTGTATAGATTTTAAAGAGCTTACTTTGCGAAACGTCCATTTTAAGGTACAGTAAGTAGCTATCTAACAATGATTTTTTTGTACATAATTTACCTTAATAATTCAACTTTTTATGAAAAAAAGAACACAGTGTAATTTAACCACTAAAAACAACATTGATATTGAAAAATTTTGTATAGCTTACTATGCAAAAATTGTAAAATACATAAATTTAACATTTTTCTTTTAGTAATCGTTTTCTCTTTATCAAAGACCGTGATACCTTTAAAAACCCACGAGATTTAGAGTTCCTGATTATCTGCAGAAAACCGAAAAATGGTTTATGTGAAATATTTTGTAGCTCTTGATATCTGTTATCATCTATTTGAATATTTTCTCTCCCTTAAGGGACATTATATTTATAATACACATGAATATATAAACAATAAATATAAGTTATCTAAATATATTAAGCTTTTAGAGTGGAAGCGTAGGTTCCCTTCTGTACAATTATATCAGAGCATATTTCACTATTTGTCTCCTTTTACTACTCAAAAATGGCTCTGAAGATATTGTTCCTAATAGTTATAACCCAAAAAGGATGTGGCTTACGTTTTTGATGAGAAACACAAATTATCTTTTCGAAAAATTGTAAAATGTGATCTGATATTTTTATGTATTTAACTTTTTTTATCTTATTCTGTATGTACAGTGGCTCATAGTCAAAATTATATACCTCGTTTGATAAAAATTATTGAATAAATAAATAGTTCAATTTATATTACATTGAAAGCAATAATTTATTGTAATAAATAAACATCCTAGTATTATGTTCTTTTTTTATTTTATTTTCTTGTCCTTTTATTATGTTCTGTTTCTTGATGTGGGGTGTATGACGGCTTCTTGTGTAGGAAATCTTCGTTTTATGATGGAAATATTCATATCGTATAGTGAATAAACATGTTTACATAGACATTTTGAGAGAAAAAATTTAAAGAAATTACGGAAAATCTAAAATAAAATTTCGTTTTTATGAGGATACTTAACCCAAATGCTCTGCCATGATTGTGAGGAAATGGCTACCTTATTACTTCCCCAAAGTTATAAAAACTCCACCACAGTCACCAGATCTTAATGTGATTAAACACTTGTGGGAAAATTGGAAGAGAAATTAGAAAAACGTGAAATTTCTAGCAAAGAAGGCTTAAAATCTTTTCAAAGAGTGGAACAGTTTAGGCCAAATTACACAAAAAAAAAAAAAAAGAAGAAGAAAACTATTCAATTGCATTACAAACAGACTGAAAGAAGTGGTAGAAAATAATGGCTTGCCTACAAGCTGTTGAACTAAATTAATACTATTTAAAAGTTAATAAGAAGTGAGGTGTATCATTTTAATTGTAAGTTAAAAAGTTTCTTTTGTTAATTTTTTTTTAATAATCACAGTTGAATATTTTAATTTTATTGAGTTTGTACATATTTAAATTGAGACCATATATAAATCTATTGAAGGAAGCTATTCGAATGTCTACATATCATGGGTGATAAATATTCAGGAAGCAGTCATAAAATTGTTTTTTATTTGTACCAACATTTCAACCCAAATATATTGTAGCTCATCATCAGAGGCGTGGATCGAACACTGAAGGCTTTCAAGTACTGTTTTTTGAAGAGTTTCTGGTTTTATTCGTTTACTTTATCTAATCAAGTATTTTTTTTTTATTTTTCTATTTTTTGTAAGTATCAATTAGACAGTTAGCCACTATATATCATTGCTAGTTTAGAATAGTTAAAATAATAAAATTAAAATAAAAAGCAAAAATAGTTAATGTTTTTCGTTTTATATTATTTAAAAAGGATTATCGAAAGTTATTACGTAAAAGGAAAAAAATCGGTTCTTGGCATGTAAATTGTCGAAAACGGGATCCCGAGAGGAGTTTTATTATTCAATCTGGTTGGCAGGCCCGATGAAGGAGAGAGGTGTTCCGGTAGGAAATGCTGCGGGGGCTTTGGATCGGTCCAAAAGGTTTTCGATTCCATTGATTGTTTTAATGATTCCCTTAGCAATACCATGATTTAATGTAGATCATGCCCATGTTGATATCTTAATTTAGATTTTCCATACCTTATGAACAGACTTTGATTCCTGTTTTTGAAGCACGCAGAAGTATGAGCACGAAGAGTTTTGATATCCCTTTATTATTGAATATGGAGAGGCAGTAATCAGGGAGCAATAGTTCGTTTTAGCAAAATCTGTGAATTTTCTCCAGAAAATACAGCTTAAGATAACTCTAATAATTATGGATCGAAGACTAACACTCAACATTTGATTATGTGTTATAAATATTAATATAATATATATTGGATGCACAGGCGGATTTACGGGGAGGGAGGCTTTCGGGCTGAAGCCCCTCCACCATGTTTTATAGGGAAAAACTATTAAAAACTATCTCTTATACTGGATTATTGGTCGTGTAATTACATTTAATAGGACTCATTAGCGGATCCAGGATTTAATTTTTGGGGGGGTTTCAGCCCGAAAGCTTTTTTTTCACAAAAATAACGATAATTACTTTGGTAAAAAAGAAAGAAACTAACTACCTGTATGAAATGGTGTTTAAGTGATTCCTAAAGCTCTTTTAATATTAATCACACGAACAATAATACTTTAAGAGATACCTTTTTAATATTTTTTTCGATAAAACATGGTTATATTTTACCATTTTGGGGGGGCCTCAGCCCGAAAGCCCCCCCCCTCGTAGATCCGCCCGTGATAGGACTTCAAGAACCACTAAAACACCATGCCATATGGTTAGTTAGTTTCTTTCTTTTTTTAAAAATTAATTATCATTATATATATATATATATATATATATATATACATATTTATATTTAAAAAATCCTTCGGGCTGAAGACCCCCCTAAAATTAAATCCTGGATCCGCTAGTGGGCGGATCTACGGAAGGAGATTTGGGGCGGAAGTACCTTCCCTCCCCCCACCAAAAATTGTAAAGTATAACCATGTTTCATGGAAAAAAATATTTAAAAATTATCTCTTAAAGCATTATTGTCCGTGTAATTACATTTAAAAGGACTTTAGGAATCACTTAAACACCATTTCATATAGGAAGTTAGTTTTTATTTTCAAAAGTGATTATCGTTATATATATATATATATATATATATATATATATATATATATATGAAAAAATAACCTATCGGGCTGAAGCGAAATGTTGTTTATGTGATACTTGAAGTCCTATTAAATGTAATTACACTAACAATAATACTTTAAGAGGTAATTTTTTCATGAAACTTGGTTACGTTTTACCATTTTGGGAAAAGCTGGTCTCCCTCTCCCATTAAATCCTCCTGTGGTTAGCGGAAATATTTCGCTGGTACGACCCATAGCGCCGACTGCTAGCAGTTAAGCTCTGATTTAGAGGAATAGAAAGGAGCCTTGAATAGTATATTTTCAATTTCCACTAAAGCAGTACTTAAGTACTAGCAGCCGGGGCAGTGAGCGGTACCAGCGAAATAGTACCATAATGACGATTGCGAATTGAAAATCTCTTGGCTGAGATTTATTAAATCTTCCACCTGTTAAAGGAGTTTTCTATCTTTAAATTCCTCATTACTTTTCAGCAGAAATGGTCTTCCTTTCAGAAACCTATTCTTTTATAATAAAACTCCTCTGGTTGCACGAATCCGAATAGAGAATTTGTCGCATCCGGCTTGTGTAAACATTCTTAAGTTCACCACTCCACCAGATCATTAAAGAATTACCCATTCCCAAAGTCCATATTTTTTAATGATTCACTTTTTACTTAGAATATCTACTGAAATAGTACTTAATGTTAAATGTTAATAGGAGTACTAAAAAACCTGGAAAACGGTATGTAAAAAGGAGATGCATTGTCTTCCCTCTCCAAAAAAGATTTATACCAACCAATACAATAATGCATTTACTAAAATGTCATACTGATGTATTGTTTTATTATTTTACCTTTTTGTTTGTCATAAATTATTCGTATTTCCCTCGTTAGATAAATATTTTTACTATAATGATTTCATGACGGCCTTTATTTCATTTCTACTAATTGCACAAACGGTTGTCGTGAGCGAGATTTTACTTTATTATAATATGACTACTTAGCACACATGTCAGAAAATAATGTCCGAAATGAAATAAAAATCTAAAAAATTTTCAATCAGAATTGACTGACAAAGAAGAGCGGCTTCGATTTGATCCGATCTCTTGGATAATTCAGCGAACGACACGACACACGTTAGCTGTGGAGGTTGGGCGGAACCAATCAGGGCTCACCCCCCGGAGCTTGATTAACCAATTATAGCAATGCATTATGTAAAGGGCGGGGCGTGGCAGGATCATGTGAATGTTTAAGGAGCCAGGAACCGGCAATTTGGGCGTGGCTAGATGAATAATGAGAGAGGATTGGTTGGTCTATAATTGCTCCTCCTCTACGCCACTACACCATTCAACTCACATGGATCCTCCGAAGTTCGTCAATCACTACAGGTATCGCCTCCTGCTCAGGCAGTCTTCACTAATTATATTATTAAGGATACTTATCATACTATATTAAGGATTATCAAGGATCTTTAGGGTTAAACTTGATAGGAAGATATTGTGACTTATCTTGGATGGATGTTTTGGGACCAACATTTTAATTTATTTTACTCTGCTTGGAATATTAAAATAATAATAGGAGAGTCCAAACCTTTTGGAATTTAAAACATCGCATACCGCTTGAAAATGCTTTCAAAACTATATAATCTGTTTGTCAAGAAATCATACATATATTTTACCATCCTCCTCCCAACCACCATTGTGGGATATCCTCGTCTAATTAAATCTTGTTTACACAAATTAAATCGATCACCAGTTAAAATATTTTTTCTCATCTCTTAAGCTATGATCTATTTATAAGGGATTTGACCGTGCTCTGTAGAAGTATAAACGTATATCTTAGTGTTGTTGTTGTCACTAGCGGATTCAGAATTTAATTTTGGGGGGGGCTTCAGCCCGAAAGATTTTTTTTCATCTACATATACCAATAATTAATTAGAAAAAAGAAGAAATAAATTAACTGCCTATATCAAATGGTACTTAAGTGGTTCTAAAAGCCCTATTAAATGTAATTACACGAACAAGAGTGCTTTAAGAGATAGTTTTTAATATTTTTTTCTGTAAAACATGGTTACATTTTACTATTCTGGGGAGGGCTTCAGCCCGAAAGCCCCACCCGTAGATCCGCCTGTGGTTTTTGTTCAAGGGAGCCAATGTTCTATAACTTTGTGCTATTGAAATTGTTGTTTTTGTTACTAAATCTGTACTTCGGAGATAAAGGCCACTACGCCGCATTTTTGTATTTGTTCAGGGAGCCAATTTTCCATAACTTTGAGCTATTGAAATTTGTTTATTCGATGCTAAATTATTTAATTGAAAAAATGGACCTGATGTTGTTTGTCTTCGATGCATACATTTTACCATTTCCATTGTGGAGCTTCCTCATCCTCTTAATTCTCATTTAAACAGATTAAAAGTTACATGAATAAACGTGTTTTGCCTCATCTCTTAAGCTTGTGTGCATCATTTATAAGAGGCTTTACCATGAACCGTAAAAGTATAATGGCGTATGTTTGTGGATCATCATAAAACCATTTTACTTAAAACACATATTTGGAATTCCGAATTACCCAAAATTCATCAATCCCATGTTGTAATTTCGCAGAGGGCAAACTATGTATACGAAGATAAATGATGCTGATTTCTATAAGAACCACGAGAGAGGTCATTTGTTCTGCCTCTTAGAACCATCATCTATGAAGATATCTCATTATTTTGACCTTAATTGTTCTTTTTGAGAAAAATTCCAAAGGCTCAACATTCTAATGGTTTTATTTACAGAAGATATTAAAGTAATAGGTGATTTATTGAAGTGAAAACTTCTTTAGGTGCGTTTCGCTCTTTTTTTTATGGAAAGTGAATTAGATTGAGCTGTCAGATCTCCGATGTGTAACGCTCGAGTAAAGTCGGCTGGATTCGACTAATAGAACTTGTTATTGCATTTGGATTAATATCTAAAACTATAAATCGAGTAAGCGAGGGAATTTTTTGGCATTCAATCCTATTTGTAATGAGCTATTATTTATAATTTATTTTTTATATTATTAATCTCACCTTGTTGATGTTTTCACTTCTATCGTCTGAACTAAATCACACACCTTAGTTTTTTTTTTGTTATAAAATAGTTTAAACACCCCTATAGATTTGTATTAGTAAATAAATTATGAATTGGTATTAAAAAAGTTTACAATTTGGCAGTTACGAGCAGTAGCATATCCAGGATTGCATTTTGGGAGGAGGCTTTTTTTTAACTGCTATTACTCTGGAAGAAAAAGAGATGAACAGTTCAATGAAATGATGTTTAATGGTCCTTAAAGATAAAAAAAAATTACAGGACGCTTTTAGATGCTTTTAGAGATAAACTCCTTAATATTTTTTATTTATATGTGCTTATATTTAGTAAATGCATATGTATTATAATTTAAAAAGATAAGATATTGTGATAGTTTAAGTATTTAGCTTAGATTACTCATATAAACAAGTATGAAGCAATGAAATATAAATAAATATAAATATTTAGAGGAAAGAGATAGTCTGGGGTGGCGGTCATAAATAGACTAAAATAGTGGTAAAACTATTTTATTTCAAGCCAATGTTTCGACTCGACTTTGAACGAACAAGATACAAAAGGATATAGAAAATTGTGGAAGTTACATAATATTTAGATAAAAATTATAAACAAGGTGAATAAACTTACTGAACTTATAAACAGTAAGTACATTGAAATATTGAGAACAATAAACTGTATAAACAGAGTAAACTAAGTAACAATATCTTAAACTGAAGTAAATAAATGGCAACAATTGTTGTAGTATAATATACAATATAATATATGCAATTATGAATATACTCCTAGAGATCTCAAAGAGCGGTTGGAAGAAAAGGATAACTAATATGAAATAATGGACATAAAGGGATGTGAAGAAAGAAAAGAAAAACAAAAAAATAAATAAATAAAAAGAAAAGAATAAAAATAGAGACTTAAAGGGTGCTCACCCTTGGGGCGGTGTTCCCCAAATGTAGTCTACCCATGTTTTTCCAGTTTCAACTAAAATTCCTTGTTAAACATATCTGTAGGTCTCTATTTTTATTCTTTTCTTTCTTCACACTCCTTTATATCAATTATTTCACATTATTTATACTTATCTTCCAATCTCTCCTTGAGATCTGTAGGAGTATATTCATAATTGCATACATTATATTATATATTATACTATAACAATTGTTACCATGGTTTTGCCACTATTTTAATCTATTTGTACAACGGTCATCTATTAAGTATTCAATATATATATATATACATTCTATGGGAGAGAGGCTTAAACACAAAAGCTCCCTCCTACAGATTCGCCAGTTGTTACAAGCTGGCTTTTACACCCTAAATAAATATTATCGGATACAAAATACCTGAGGAAATACCCCACTCCGAAATCGAAATGTTTTCAGAAATATAATCAGAATTTTAATATTTTATCATAAAAAAGTGAAACCGTTGACAGTAATGCATAGTAACATAGAGTGTGTTGTTGGATGCGCATATTCGGTGGACTAAGCTTATCTTCTGCAGCCAGAATTTTTTTAAATTTAAATTCAAATATGTTCATCTATTCGAGGTACTTATCATTTAAATCCTGATTGAAAATATTGGAATTAGCCATCACATTATCACATAAAAATTTGCCTTTTGTTTTAAAACTTATTATCATTTAAAGACGTGGTCATCCCTATATTATATTAAAAAGTGTAAACGAAATACCTATTTTCTCAAAAAAAGCTTAAGCTACATCCATGCCTTATTAACTTGCGAACAATCTCCATATCATGAAGAATCTGGGAGTAGGCAAAATGGACTCATTTCCGTTTCTTCGTGAAATCATTCAACTAATAGATAGCAAATATATGATGATTCTAAAAAAAAATTTCCATCAAAAAATTTCATTTGATGCGTGGTCCGATTTCGAATAAAGCTAAGACGAATCTTATGTTTTTCTTAAGGCAGTCATCTTTTCATTTAAGAAGGAATCGCTCAAAAAACTGTTCAAGATAATTATTAGAAACATTTTTTAGATTAAACAGTAATTAAATTTAATAAGATTGTATAAAAGGGACTATGAGGAGGTGTGATACGACCGCTGTGCTGCTGCAGGTACAATACCCATATACCAGCTGCACATCTCTGTACCGGCCGTATTAGACTTCCTGAAAGTCCCTTTTATCATTGACCTTAGTAAATTTAATCACTGTTTTCTCTAAACAATGTGTGTATTTTACGATGGTGTTGTGTAGAATTTAATTATCTTGAACAGTTTTTGAGCAATTCTTTCTTAATAAAAAACGTGACCACCTTACAGGGGTGCCCATCCCCTCTCCCGAGGTCGATGGCGCATAAATCCCCCTCCCCTCTCCAAACATTCCACTTCTTAAATTTAGTGCAAGCGAAATTATAATTAGAAAAAATCGTATATTATAATAAATTACATTAACTGTGTCTGTCCCATGGTTTCCATCCAGTTCTCTATTTTGAAGCTTTGCACTCTGAAAATTTATAGCTCCGTCAAAATGTGCTCCCCTCAAAAATTTAGATGGCGCAGCTTGCGCCACGAAACCTCCTACTGGGCACCCCTGCCACCTTATGAAGAATTGGTGCCCCTGCCAACAGAAAATTGGTCTCAACTCCTTTTCCGTTCGGAATCGACCCATGCATCAAATACACTTTTTTGTTGTATTTTTTTTTTCTAGAATCGCCTCAGAATTTGATCATTAATGGTGTTTCCCAAAATCAGTCTGCAACTTGCAAGGCCAAGACCAAGACTGCCTAACTGTTGCAAGACCAAGACCAAGACTAGTAAAAAGAAATCGACTTTTTGAATAAAAAAATAGGCAAAATAATTACTAATATTTGACAATTTTAGTTACTATATGCACAGCACAAGCGGATCTACGGGGGGGGGGCTTTCGGGCTGAAGCTCCTCTCCCCCCCTCCCCAAAAAAAAACGGTAAAATATAATCATGTTTTAGAGAAAAAAATATTAAAAACTATCTCGTAAAGTATTCTTGTTCGTTTAATTACATTTTGTAGGACTTCAAGAACCACTTAAACACCATTTCATATAGGTAGTTAATTTCTTTCTTCTTTTTTTTCAAATTAATTATCGTTATATGTATAAGAAAAAAAAAATCTTTCGGGCTGAAGCCCCTCTCCCCTCCCCCCAAAAAACGGTAAAATATAATCATGTTTTAGAGAAAAAAATATTAAAAACTATCTCGTAAAGTATTCTTGTTCGTTTAATTACATTTTGTAGGACTTCAAGAACCACTTAAACACCATTTCATATAGGTAGTTAATTTCTTTCTTCTTTTTTTTCAAATTAATTATCGTTATATGTATAAGAAAAAAAAAATCTTTCGGGCTGAAGCCCCTCTCCCCTCCCCCCCAAAAAAACGGTAAAATATAATCATGTTTTAGAGAAAAAATATTAAAAACTATCTTGTAAAGTATTCTTGTTCGTTTAATTACATTTTGTAGGACTTCAAGAACCACTTAAACACCATTTCATATAGGTAGTTAATTTCTTTCTTCTTTTTTTCAAATTAATTATCGTTATATGTATATGAAAAAAAAAATCTTTCGGGCTGAAGCCCCTCTTCCCCCCCCCCCCAAAAACGGTAAAATACAATCATGTTTTAGAGAAAAAAATATTAAAAACTATCTCGTAAAGTATTCTTGTTCGTTTAATTACATTTTGTAGGATTTCAAGAACCACTTAAACACCATTTCATATAGGTAGTTAATTTCTTTCTTCTTTTTTTTTCAAATTAATTATCGTTATATGTATAAGAAAAAAAAAATCTTTCGGGCTGAAGCCCCTCTCCCCCCCCCCCAAAAAACGGTAAAATATAATCATGTTTTAGAGAAAACAATATTAAAAACTATTTCGTAAAGTATTCTTGTTCGTTTAATTACATTTTGTAGGACTTCAAGAACCACTTAAACACCATTTCATATAGGTAGTTAATTTCTTTCTTCTTATTTTTCATATTAATTATCGTTATATGTATATGAAAAAAAATCTTTCGGGCTGAAGTCCCTCTCCCCCCCCCAAAAAAAATGGTAAAATATAATCATGTTTTAGAGAAAAAAATATTAAAAACTATCTCGTAAAGTATACTTGTTCGTTTAATTACATTTCGTAGGACTTCAAGAACCACTTAAACACCATTTCATATAGGTAGTTAATTTCTTTCTTTTTTTTTTTTTTGAAATTAATTATCGTTATATGTATATGAAAAAAAAATCTTTCGGGCTGAAGCCGCCCCCAAAATTAAATCCTGGATCCGCTAGTGATGTAAAGCAACATACTTTTGCATTTAACTCTTCTAATTTTTCATACGGGCTTCGTTAGGTTTCTCCTACCTAAAAAATTACACTATTATCTCTGTAGTAATAAGCTAATGGGTAACTGCAAGACTCTTGCAAAACTCATGCGCAAGACCAGGACCAAGACTGAGACTGAGTGCGCAAGACCAAGACTCGTCTTATTACATAAATACATTACATTATAGGTATTAAGTTATGGTTTAATCTTTTTAGAACTCTAATCCGAGGACTGCGGATAAGCGGCCTGCCAACCCCCTGGATCAGGAAGCCTTCCGTCCTTCTGAGGCTCCCCTACCTCTTCTACGACTTGTTGATGATCTCCATCGTCCTCTACATGCTCTGGTGTTACCTCTACACCATCCAGGGCAAATTAGCATTCGATGTAGGTATCACCTTATTTTATATTTATCTATACATCGTCGGTTCATAGCAAAGAGTCACTAACAAGGGGAGGTTATAGCCGGTTGGAACCAATTTCAACCAACTTTTTTTTTTCGGTGATATTACATCGAAAAATATTGGACACACGTTCCGGCGTTCGTTCCAATTGGACTTAGGCGCCGAGAAAAATGTATTTAATATAATTTCAAACAAAATTTATGTAATTATTTTTGCCAAGATTTTTAGGCTATCATATATCAATCAATTTATTTTTTTTTTTTATTCTTGTCATAATAATAATTACATGTTTGTGATCGGGCTTTATAGCCTTAAACATGTTATACTATTGTATTAAATGAGTTGCAATGTATACTAACTAAATTACAAAAACCAAAAGGCATTTCCAGTAAAGTTTTGTTATAAAAAAACAAGTTAGATTTATTTTTAATTATTTTGAATTTTCTCAAGGGGCCAATGTTCCATAATTCCACGCTATTAAAATATCTTTGTTTGTTGCTAAATATGTACTCTGGAGGTAAAGGATACTATGCCACATTGTTTAATTTGTTCTGAGCGCCAATTTTAACGTAAAGCTATTAAGATTTGTTTCTTCTTGCTAAATTATTAAATGAAAAAAATGGACATGGTGTCGTTTACCTCCGGGGCACAAATTTATAGGTTAAATATACAAATTTACATTCAAATATCTCTAGACAAACACAGCTCAGAGAATAGAGCAATGTGAGATACGAAGTCTACCATTACATCTATATCTAATTATAATAATAATAATAATATTAGGAATAAAATTACCTCTTGAAGTGCTGAAAGAGGCTCAACACTCAGTTCTCTTAGATACATTGTTCGACAATTTTTAAACGTCTAAAAAAAATAATAGATATTAATATGAAGGTGGCTGGACATCTGGTCTCCCACCTCAGAAACTTACCCAGCAAAGCAAGAATAAAGAATGGAAACAATAATAATAATGCTGAACACTGCGAGGATCGTAAGAAGCTTCCTAAATATCCAATAAAACTACAAAAATTAACGTGAAGTGGTTGAAGTTAATTCTTCCCCGCTCCAGGAAAATACCTTTTTTAAAAGTGATAACGTATAAATAATAATAATAATAATAATGCTTTATTTATTCTAGGACGGATCCCTTTAGAATAATACATAGAGAAAAATATGTGGACTAAGGAGCCTATAGTTTGATTAAATGGTCAAAAAATAAAATAAATAAATAAATAAACATCATAAGAGAAATTATAAGTTACTTTCTAATTTACATCAGTTAATAATAAAAAATAAAAAATTGAAAATAAACATGAAGTAAAATTCGTAAAGAACGATCAAATAATTTATATACATATTTACAGTAGTGAGTTATACATCTAATCATATACATATAATCTACATCTAAGTCTCCTAAGTCTGCCAGATGCAGTGCACTGATGAAGACCGCAGCGTAGGTCGAAACGTCAGCAAATCCAATAAAATACTATTATAATATACAGTATTATATAATGGAATACCCCCCTCCCTCCCCAATTGCTCAAATTATAATTAACCATTGTAAGTTATTCAACATTGTTTTACTTTATTTTTCATTTGAAAATGTTTGGTATTTGTACTGCTGATTTATTAATTACTTTTTAAACCTTTAAATTCGTTTGAATTTAAAAATCTAATTTCACTCAAATTTTGCCGCTTCCTAAAAATTAAAAAAAAAGCGAGTGGCTTGTCTACGTAAGTCCATTCTTCTCAAATTACTTATTTTTAAGAGAGGATCATGACGTAATTGCACACTAATTTTCTAAGTCGACCATTGGACTTAACCATGGGGTAATAAAGAAAAAAACAGCAACAGAAGTAAATTACATATACGAAACAATAGAAGTAAATTTCTGTGCTGTCCAATATTACTCATTATTCAGATTTCGAAGAATTACTTCCATTGTACCATTATTTTTTCAATGCTCCCATTTTTACATAAGGAAAAATTATTGTAATTACTTGTTATGAAAATGTCAATATCACTTTTACATTTACGTAAAATTTCGCCATATTTTTTGGAGATATCTTTATTAAACAAAATTTACACTCTAATCTGGATAATATTTGTCATTACAAAAAACTAATTAATGATCAATAATTTATGTTACAGGAGCTGTGTGCACTAGGAGTGGGGATATCATTGTTCACTTGTGGGCTCCTGGTGACCTACTACCACTCTCTTTATGGGCGAAGACTCCAGAGGATCACTGAGAACACGGACCGCCTAGCTGCTGCGCTCCTGAGAAGCGGATTGGACAGTAGTCACTGCCTCCAGCAGCTGTACCGGAAGAACTCCTCAGCGATTGCTGTCCTCACCAACAACACCATCGTGTTCAGCTTCTTCTGCCCAGTTCTCTACTGCCTGTCGGTCCCCGTCGTGGACAGCATAGCGGGCAGGTACCGTTGCAGGCAGCCCCTCCCCATCACCAGCCCCTTCGACGACAAGAGGGCGGGGCTGTACGAGCTGATCGCCCTGGTCCTCGCCATCAGCAACGCCATATCGTGTGCCAAGAAAGGTGTTAACGATTGTCTATTCTTAGCGCTTTTCAGAATCCAGTCGTCCTTTCTCCAATTCCTCTCTACCTCGCTGGAAAACTTACAGAAAGAATTCCTAGTCGGAGGTGACGATTGGAACAGAAAGATACTCATTCGGTGGGTTGCACTCCACCAGGAAGTTCTCAGGTTAGTTACGAATTTCCAAAGACAATACTTTCAAAATCTTCCACATCCTCCTTTATGAATTTTTACTTGGTTATTTTTAAAATTACTTATATAGATCAAAAAATGTATGAGCTTTTCATTTACCTGGGTCATTTTCACCCTAAATTACAGTTGTTAATTTAAAAATTAAAATACGTAAAAACACTATAAATCACAAAAATATTAGAGTCAACAAAATTACAAATAACTAATATGATCTTAAAACTATTAAAAGGATATTTTTTTTTTTAATTAGAAATAAATCACTAAATTTTAAATAATCATAGGATTTTTAGTAAGTTACAGTTGGTGAAAAATTACAAATAGAAAAGTACAAGGAAAAATAAATAAATAAAATAAAAATTATAACATTAATTATATTAAAATTTATTTAGAACTTAACTATCACAGTTGGGTCTGATTTTTTAATAATATGGTCATAAAAAGTAGACATTATTGAACTATTTATCTTTTTGTAAGAACAACCAGACAGCCATAAAGAAATATAATTCCAAAAGTGACAAGATAGCTTTTTATTATTATGTTTTTAAATGACCACATTGAAAAATAAAAATAAAAATAGCTTATTATGAGCTTTTGTTAGAATGTGAAGTAAATATAGAAGGAAGTGACTTAGGGTTGTTATAATGATTTTGTCCGACAACTCTGCCATTTCCTTTTTGATAAAAAAAAGAAATAATTACATAGAGAATATAAAAACTTTAAGATGAAGCATTATTAAAAAAGTGTATACCTGAAAATAAAATTATGTTGGAGAAACGGTTGACTGATTCAAGATTTCAATCACAGAAAAAAATAAACATATTGCAATGTTTCAGGCCTTCATGAATAGGGATTTCTCCAAGTAGTTAAAACTTAGGCCAAAATCAGTGCCGGCCTTAGGGCGGAGCAAACAGAGCAATTGCCCCGGGACGCCGATCTTCAGGGCCGCTCGCAACTTGTTAAAGTTTAAAAAAAAATACAAAACTTATTAAAATTATTAATTTTAGCCTATCAATAAAACAACTGTATTAGAGAAATATTGAATGAAATAAAATTTAAAAATTACGTAATATAAAACAGCTTAAGAAATAAATTATTTTTTTTAGTGGAGGATGATGTCACTGGCCAAAACATGACTATGACTACAGCCTCCTACTAACTTCTCAGCCCCAAAATGACATTAATCTGTTTAAGCTACTGAATTAATCTAAGATTATTATCTTTTACAGAAATATACAAGAGTTGGTGATGATATTTTCTCCAGTGGTCATCATATATTATCTCAATGTTATCGGAATAGTCGTATGTGGTCTCTTTACTCAAACAATGGTGATTTTTACTTATTAAATTTAACATTATATTATTTTTGATAATAATTTATTATTTAACATCATATTACAGTATAGGATGGTTTTGATAATCCGAACTCCTATTAATCCAAACAAGAAAAGATCAAAGTTAAAGTTGACGAGAGAAAAATTGGATACAACTCTTTTTTTCAGTACATATTACTGGAATTGCTTTGTGTGACAGGAGAACTCAGGGAAAAGGGTTTCATGGTGCATGTTGCAGCATTAAAAATTTTTAGGGGGGCACATTTTGAGGGAATACATTTCGAAGTTGTTCTGAATTTTCGAAATGAAAAGTTTCAAACCAGGAGACAAGAGGAAAGCATAGAACAGACCACTGAAAGTGTAATTGGATATGATCTATGATTTCTAAAATTATACTTTAGCTTGCTCAGTTATTAAAAGGAGAGCAATAAAATAATTTGGAAGAAGAGGGGAGGATGCCATTGACTTTGGGAGGAATGGCCACCCCTATTGTGGTAGTGTCAAGATCATATTTTGATGTATCTAAGCTGAATACATTAAAACTAAGCATCATCCAGAAGTTGAGGAATCACTTTATATGTGATTATTATAACTAATATCATGAAGGTGTCAATTTCCGAAGATATGTTAGCAGGAAAGTCCAAGTTTTTCTTTAATTATTTGTTTTAAGAAGGATGACAAAGCAAGTTTTAATACCAGTAAAGATTCCTTTAATAATTTCAAAATCAGATATGGAATACGTTTTTATATTATTTTTAATTCACTGGAAAATTTATTTTATTTTTCATCATCGATAAGTAGTAGATACCATATTAAGGCATTTAATACTTCATTGGAGTGGGAGAATGGATTCAACACCAATAGGGAAGCCTAGTACTTTTAAGGAATTTGGGAGATCAAGGTTTTCTTTAGCAACAAAATCAGAGACTCAAGGAACATTATATGATCATTTTCAGATTTTTTTATTTTTTTTTTTTTGCAATATGTTTAAATTTAACTGGTAATACACATCTTTTCATGTAATTTTTCCATCATTTTAAATTTAACCTTTGATAATCCAATCTACATGTTCAATTTATCAAGGTGGTCCTGTATTATTTTTATGTTATTATAATTAAATTTAAATAAATTATAAACTGAGAACTAAATAAGAAATCAGATGAGGCCTAATAATAATTAGACAGGAATTTATTTTGAACAAATAATAGAATGTTCAACAAGGTAATATAATTCTATTTACTATCATCTACTGAATTATGCTTAAATTCAGCATAGTCTTGTCTCCCGATGAGCTGCACATTTCTCAGTGTTTCTAGCTCTGATGATGATAAATATTGAAGGTTCCCTAATATCTGTAGAAAAATAAATAAACAAATTGAAATATGCTTTTCATTCATGCTGATTAATAACCTAAAAGTATACTTATGATTTACAAAACACCAACCATTAATTGCAAATAATTCTTCTCCTTTTATGAATAATAATTATTTTTCTTTATAGTGGGTAATGCTTATGTTTATAAATTCCAATTTTTTTTCTGGAAGAATATTTGGTATTCATAAGCAGTGTTATTCAAGCCAAACATAATGTTAATTGTTTAATTATTGCTGTCCATATCATTTTGAGTTATTATTTATGTCATTGTTTGATTTTCTTTATTCAGTTTTTATCTATATTTCAACTAAATATAAATTAAGATGAATAAATTTCTTCAGTATCTCCCTCAAATATTGTATTTTTGTGAAAGGTTAATAAATTATTTGTATAATAGTACTGAACTTTATTTTAATAAACAAATTCCAATAATATTTATTTCATTTTCACTTAAACAAATTATGAATATAGCTGTTAAATGTTATTATTAGGGAGAATAATAGTAAATATTATGAAACAACTAGCTAGCTGCCTTGAGAATTTAATGATTACAAAAGAAGTCCTTTCTTTTCAGAATGTTTCCTGATCATATAATTTATTTGATGGTCTCTTAATTAAGTGGGTTTTAAAACTGATTTGATAAGATTAGCTTAAAAAAATAATCTTCTTAACTTGTTTATTTCTAAGTTTGAACGGCATTAAGCTGTCAATTCTGGTATTCATTCTTTATTTGATGTCTACCTACCTTCTAACCATATCAACTTATTCCATATCATTATGTTTGCAGAATGACAATGGTAATGTAATGCAGTCAATCGGAGTTGGCAGTTATGTCTTGGTGACAGTGCTTCACATGCTTTTGTTATCTAACACTGCTGAAGATCTCAAAACCAAGGTCTGTATGTTATGAGTCTAAAGACTTGGTATGCCATTACATGCTTTTACAGAGCCTGAGTGAAACCCAGATGATAGTTATTTGTCACATGCTTGTAATTAGGTCTGGAAAATAAGATCAGAATGCCTTACTCACTGACCTACCCTACTCATTCCCTACAACCAAAAAATCTATAAACTTCAATAAACTAAAATCATAGAGCCTCTTATTTTTTATTGAAAAGTTATTTGAAGTGATTATAATTTTAATTTTCTTTTACCTGACACAAATATATATGATCACCTGTTTATATATATATATATATATATATATATATATATATATATATATATATATATATATATATATATATATAAAATCATTAAGTTTTAGTCACTGTCACCCTCAAGTGAATGTTTTACTGCCTTAGATTCTAATTTTAATTCATGATAGAGCTATGAACCAGATTAGTTTGATTACTACATTTAAGATTTAAAATGTTGTTTGTTGATACATTAAATAATCTTCCATTACCTAGAATAGATTGGTAATCAGTAGATAAGTATCTCTTTCCACTCAATAAATCGTCAAATCTTTCTAAATCCAACAACTGCAATTCACTTCGTACTCATAATCACTTTTCCAATCTTCCTATTTTCAAAGTCTGAGTGAAAGGATAGAGATTTATTCCATATGTCTACTATGAATTTACCCATCACAGCTGGATTTGAAGTGAAACTACATATGACTTGGGTATAACAACATTCTCAACTGTCATTGCCTCAGAAACCAGTTAACAAACTAACAACGACATTCCTTAAAACTGTTTCTTTAATTTTAAAATTAATTATTGCAATACAAAGAATGAATCTCGGCTATAATAAATAATCTTATACTTCATTAATTTATTATGTCAAATAAAAGTTCATTGAGTTTATAAGTAAAGTTAACTACTTATTATTACTAATCTCTTGTTACACAATATTCATCAATTAAAAAAAAAAAATGTTTTAAGAGCAACAAATAGCCAGCCAAAAGGAAGACATACGACATGAGAATTTTGCTAAAATTATACTTATCATTATCATTCTAATATGCTAAAGAAAGATCGTTTTGTTTATATCAAACATACTAATAATCATATCATATTATTAGTTCCTATTTTATTCCTATAGTTCCTATCATATTATACCTTGCTATACCAAGCCATTAGAACACGGCGACCTGCATATATTCTACAGATCCTACAATTCAAACGCTCCTTTCAATCATCCCACCAGATCCCATCCGCCCAACCTCTATCCTCCTCCTCACCGAAGTACTGCGTTTGATAAATCCTATTTAATACAAGCTGTCGCCCTCTGGAACTCTATACCTTCAGATATTCGACACGCAAAATCAATATCCTCTTTCAAATCTCTCCTCTTCAAACACCTATTCCATTCTCAATCCAATTGATCACGAAATGCACTTAAAAACCTAAGGTGTAATAACCTCAAAGTACACCCAGATACTCTGATTATTTTGTGATTCATCTATATTTCGTTTATTTAATTACTTTCTCTGTATATTTATATTTACACGTATTTATATCTTTTTATTATTTATAACGCTATTGTATTCATAATTAAACTGTAAATATTAAATTGTATTTTACGGACACACCAAAATATTAATATATATTCTGTATTTGTAACTTGTTCGAAAGGGACACTAGTCCCAGAATAATAAAATTATTCTCATTCATTCATTATATTATGTATAGTTTTTACTATTAATGTAGTTAATTAGGTATCATATTTATGTATATTCTTATAAATATATGTGTATAAAACTCAACTCCATTTGTATGGGTTCACCTGAAAACAAATTAAAAAAAAAAAGTATTATCAGGTTACCTTGAAGATTTTTCTCATGATGTTTCTTTCCAGGCACAAAGGATCGCCTTTGTAGCATATGATGTCCCTTGGTTTGAAATGAACAAGACAAATGCAGATATGCTCCGAATGGTTGTGAAAACTTCCAACAAAGAGATCCATGTCACGGCATACAGAGCTCCCATCTTCCTTTTGAGCAGAGAGACATTTGCAGGGGTTGGTAAAACTTTCTAAAGAAACTCTTTCATTCACAAAGTTCAATTACGAATTCTATTTCTTTTTTCAGTTCAGTATCAACTGTATAAAGGCGTTTGTGACACTTGTTCAAATGAAGAGGCGTTTTGAGTGAGTTACTTACTTAAAAAGAAACAATTTTAAATGTTATTATTGTAAATGTAATAAATATATTTCTTAAAGGCTTTATTTTTCTAAATACATCATCTTTACATTTGAATTGGCCTAGTACCCTCAGTGCATTTTACTCAAAATGACATAAATCTCCATTATTAGCTTCTACCGTTGCAATTATACACTAGTGTTGACAAATCTGAACTAGTTTTGTTAGTTAATTTGTGTTTTTAAAATTGTTTAAATTCATTAGAAGTTAATATATACTGTAGATATTTAATGCACAACCAATATCTCATGATATGAAGGCAAGAAGGTTAAGATGAGCAAGACATACAGGTCAAGCAATCAAACAGGAAACTTTTATTTTGCATGGGCTTTTAACAATTGATTGAGGGAATCTTAAAAAAGCTAAGGCCATCCTCATTGGTTCCATGCACCTTGTTAAGTCTGTTACGTCTCCTCTCTTTATTTATGATGGCTGCCTGGTTAATAGTGGACCTTCTGATAGCTGAGAAGGAAAGGAACTAATGAACCGTTTTATGAGGTTCATCTTCGGAGTGCCCAAGCAGTTTCACGTCACCAGTTGGTATGCACGGTTAAAATATAAGGGATAAAGCCTATTTTTCGATGGTAGTTTTTCGTAAGTGTTTTTCTTTCCCAGAGGTGTTTAGACCGAAAAATCCTCCTTAATTTATTTTTCCATGTTCTTCTATTCACTCTTTGAACACAAGGTGCTAACACGAGTATATTTCTTCTCACAGAACTGCTTCCTTAGAAACTTCTTTATCATCTGTGCTACCTCATTTTGGAATTTTTTACCCATCTCCATCGATAAAACTCCATATTTAACCTCTTTGAACCATCAATTATTTACCCATTCCTCAACTATCAATTCATATGTTTGGGCCACCCACCACTTCATGAACTTAAAAAAAAAGAAAGCGCATGAGAATAAGTAATTTCAGAAAATTAATAAAGCAACTGAATTATATGTAATTGAATGAAATATAAATCAAATATTACTTGACATAAAACATCTTAAAACTAAATTTAATTTTTTTTTGGAAGGAGAATGATGACACCATTGCCCAGTGGTGGCGAGTGTCTAACACTGACACTGGTTAAAATAATTACGGTTAATTTTAATTTGTTAAGAGGATTCTAATTATTGATATTCTACTATAGTACTTTAGAGGAAGTGGTTGTAAAATGGGGATAAATACAAAAACTTTAACAAAATTTAAATGGCACATATATTTTTAAACATTTAAATTTTACAAATATATATGTTTATATATATATATATATGTCGACATGGATAAATTATATATCCAATAGAACAATATTTATACACTGCACATCTGTTATTTAAATGTTCATAAATTTCCTAAAATTTAATATTTTACATTTTATTTATAAACTCCCTTGAGCCGATAATAAATTTAAACATCTAAGGAATTAAATTACATATTATTTATAAATATATATACATCACATACATATTTACACATGTAAGCATGTTGTTATAACTTGTGACATGTGTGTATGTATGTATAGCCATGTATTATATATCATTGTAGATAATAGAATGTGAATGAATTGATTAATGTTCATAAAAATCAAACAAAAAAATTACAGTCTGTCAGAGTCATTATTCAAGAAGTAATTGTATAAAAGTGTTTTAGCTAAAAGAAGTGAACACTTTACCAATATGGTCCAATATAGATGGATATTTATTCCTATATAGTAATCTAATTCCTCCCACAATTAATAACACATCAAAAAGAAACAAATATACAAATAAATAGAGAAAACGATTAAAACATACAGAAAGAAAAGAAAAAATATACAAAATGATTGTAAATATACAACTCGAAAAGAGTAAGGAATGTTCTTGACACAGTACAATTATCCTTTGGTTGTTCATTATAATAGTAACTTATCATTTATCCTATGTATACATCATATATAATATATTTATATAATTTGAACTGGCATCGTCTAGACATTAAAACAACCGATTAGGTTTCATGATGACCTCTTTTCTCTTAGCTTAACTCATAAACATACATCACATTGGTAGTATGTTGTGGAGTTTTGATATTTAATTAAAAATTTTAATTTATATATATTACACAAAAAGAAATACTAATGTAAAAAAAAAGGAGCTTAAATTATATAGATACAATTTATGGAATCAATATGGATAGATGTAAATTGAAATGTTTTCACTTTTTTTTTTTTTTACCAATAAATTAAGTGGTAAGAAATCCCTATATTCGCTGCGTGAGCAAATGTTTCTCATACTATTCAAAAGACAAACATCGATAAAATTACGAATCAAAGAATTATTCCAAAAAAGAGGGAAAACAGGCGAGGAGTTGGAAGGTAGTTCAGTTGAGGTAGGGCGTTTACTTTCTATTGGCATGCTGCCTTCCAAGACGGAGCACTTCAGCATAAGACTTTTCCAGCTGCTTCAATTTGGCCACCTGGAAAGTAATTCATGAATAACAATAAAATATCAATTATCTGATAGTTAAAGCATCCAATTTGATAAATACTATCTTTATTAATGAAAGTAATTCAATTGTTCATTTTCTAAAATAAACTAGAGAAAATAAACAACTTGTGTACTTCCATACAGCTAAAACCATTAAAAAAAATACTTATACATGCTGAGGCAAAAATAATTGATTCCTCTACTTGTAATATGTTTTAATCCAATGTTTAGGTACATCACATCCAGATCATATTGAATACTTATTACTTATGCTATGAGTTATCAAGATGAATTAAGAGACATCAAAGTCTAAAAGAACAACCAAAAGAAATAAGGAATCCTTTGATAAAAAAATATGAAAAAGTACTTCTAAAATCTATCTAAAATGTTATTAGACCGAAACTTCAAACTTTGGCTATTATAAACACTAGAAAAAAATAAACATCTTATTTTTTTTTTTAGTTTCACTTGTAGTTGTAATTTGTAAACAAAATTTCTAAAAAAATATTTAACAGATTGTTGAGATATTAATAATTAATTTGATTAAAAACCAGAACAAATGATTAATTATTTAGTGGCCTCTTAATGTATATGAAAAAAATTTGCTTATTTAAATATTAAAAGCAGGTATATTTTCTTTAGGTAATTAAAAAACTATTCACCTCCCAAAAGCTCTAAATATAATAATATTATATGCAAGGAACAAATGTGATTTATTATAATTGATTGGTAGGGTTTCCACTTTGGTGAAAAATTTCCATTTTCAGGGAATTTCCAAGGTAGAGAGGAAAAAAAAGGCAAACAATCTGAGCAAACTTTATTCTATTTTTTAAAAATAATATAATTAAAACAGACATTAAACAAATAGTTTATATAGTTTGTGTATATATAGGGGAAAAATATTTTAAACTTTGTTCTGAGGTATTAAAATAGAAAATCTGACTGACCAAGGGGAAAGTTAAAAAAAAAAATGGTAGAGGCGTTCCTGGTAGGTCAAAATGGATAGGATTTATACAGCTCTAGTAGGCAGCTTTTGTTTGTGTACTTCGAATACAAGCACTGAATCTTGACATAATTAAAGGGCTATTATTTTTTTCTTCAGTAAGATATCACCTGAATAAATGTAGTATAATGTGATCCATATAAATTAAGAATAAGTTCCTCAAAATTTACAGCATAGTTTGTGAGTTGAATAAAGAAACTGGAGAGGGTTACTACACTTAATTTGGAAATTTTTCATGTCATCCAAATAATCAGGAAAACGTTAATCGATTTTTCATTTAGTTGGTACAGCTATACTTCAATGAATTGATGAATAATGATGATGGAAATAATTAGTAGAATTTATAAAATAGAGTAATCAATCTTTTTTTAGGAAGTTGTAATTTATTTGAAAAATAATGTACGCACTTTTGTTCCTTGAAATAAATTTAAAATATACAAATTGAGTGTATAAAAAAAGAGAAATGAATAGATATCTACTATATATTAAGAACAAGACATGCAATCTACTATGTACATGGTAAAAAAAAAAAAATCAATTAATTCAACATAACTTCGTAATTGTTGTTTTAAACAGGTAATATAACTTCCTTCTACCATAGTTCATTAAAAAAAAATTATAATATAAACCAAAGTTTACACATACAAAACTGAATAAAAAGTAAGGCAAGGAATGCTCAATATCTGATTCTTCCCAATTTCATTTTAACTAAACCATAAAAAAAAAAAATAAAAAAAAATTGTTATCAAGAACATATCTTTATTTTGAGTTTTTTTTTAACATTCAAAAGTATCATTATAACGACTTGAAAACAAGTTCTCAGTTGAATCTCATGAAAGTAGAATTATTTTTAAAATAATGAAATTTTAAGCTAATAACATAAATTAACTGTAGGTTTGTTTTGTGAATAGTTAAAATCACAGAATATATTTTTTTATTTGTGTCTTATTTTTTATGGAGAAAAATAAATAAATAAACAGTAAAATTCGAATTGAAGTTGATTTTCATGTTGACTAGACAAATTAAAATTTATATTACGTTTCCTTATCCTCTTATCCACCCATGATAGTGCAAGTGAACTTTGATAAAGTCATTAGTAAAAAAAAAAAAAAAATGGTTTTGTGAGTTCTTTTAAAAATGGATTTAACACAATAAAAACTGCAAAAATAACATGAATTATATAAAGGTGTATAAACTTTGTGAAAGAGCTATTTTATAAGCATAAGTAGTCACTTGAATAGCTATTCAATTTATCTATTATCGCAACTCAGTTTAACTGCTGACCATGAAATAGTCAAATAGTCAAATGGTCATTGTTGAAAACTGAGTTGTAAGTTATGCAAATAATTTATCCTATTCTATATAATAATTGAGAAGTACTAATCTACTGAAACCCTCTACCTGCCCCCTGTCACCAATAAATGTCCTGTTCTTTACATACATTAAAGACGCTGGAATATATCAGTACCTCCTGAGCTGCAGAGGACGGTTCAGCTGTCCACCAAGTCGGCCTGGGGGCAGGGCTGGTAGACTGTGGTGGCTCTGCCCATTTCTTACCACCTCCTCTTCTTCGCCGTCGCTTCTTTGGTTCCTGAGGTAACTGTGGGCTCTCCTCGGTACAAGGGGTAACTGGTGGCACCTGAAACAGATTCATAAGTTTTTAAATTCATCTAAAACATATTGGGAAAGTTAATTAAATTACACATGATTATGTCTTATTATTTCACATTTTATAATTAAAACAAAATTGCTGTTTAATACATTTTATGGAAAAATTCTGTTCCAAAATTATAGAAATGTTTAAATTATATAATTGTTAAAAAATCATTAATCATTAAACTTAATAATAAAAGCGGGGGAAAAATAGAAGTTCTAACATTTTTCATTAACTTTCATTAACGTAGAGCACTAGTTACCTTTGGAGCTCCATCACAGACTGGAGTCAAATCTTCAAGCAATGGTAGGGACTCTCCTTCATCCTTAGCTTCTGCGGCTCTCTTTAGAACGTCAAAGATCTCTCTGAATAATTTTCTGTACTCGGGGGTCTTACGGAACCTGTGAAAGTCAAATTAAATATCAAAATACAAGTTTTTGATTATAGTTTCAAATTAGCCTGTAATTGTAACAAACCTAGTCTCAATGGGAGATGCCTCATCATAGATGCTGAACTTGCAGTCATCTCCATCCGTAATGGAGCAAAGGAAGGCCCCGGGTGGGACAATCGCTTCTGTCTGGGTCGATTTGGACACTGCTTCATCAGAAAAGCCAGAGCTAGAAGTCTCTGCCTCGGAAAGATCACCTCCTGTCTTGGTGAAGGAACTGAACTCTCCAGACAATTCGAGCTCTTCCTGTTTAAACAAATTCATCTCATATAAAATAACTTCAATGTCAAATGTAAAATAAATAATTAACTAACAAAATAAAAAGAAAAAGAGATGAAAACAGATAACGAATTTCAAATTCTTACCTGGAGTGATAGCGTCTTAGGACCATCTCCTCGAGGCCTAGGCAATGGCTTCTCCACTCTCATCAGTTCCTCATATTTCTCTACAAGAGTTCTGTAAGGATTATCTTTCTGTGTCAAATCGCCAACTGACTCCTACAATTTTGAAAAGAATATCTTATAATAACAATTATACAAAGAAATGCTACATTTGCACGAATATAGATTTTATTTTTTCTAAATTGTCTCGCATAAAATCAGGGCTCAGCCTACATTTTGTGTTATCTATAGATACTCAGATTAAATCTAGGAAAACCAGAGTTTGATAAAACTCTTTTATATCACTTTACAATTTATTTTCATTTCTACTTTTATGAAGGAAAACTATTACCATTTAAATTAATAATAAGGGAAACTGGTTTATTTATTATCATATATTTTAGAAATAATGGTTTTTAGAATAAAAATTTAAAAATATTAATTCATTATATAAGTAAACTTTAATTGAAACTTGAAACCATCTTAAAAAAAGAAGAAAAAAAATTGTTAAAGCGGGTTCAGAGATGATACATATATTCAGAGTAAATGGAATGCTGAAACAGACAGTTGAGAAAAAAGTAAGGTTACATAAAACTAAAATGGAAGAATAAGTGATATATGTTTTTAACTCTGATATTAATCCCCCACCTTTTCTCTTGGTCTTGGAAAATCCCATATTGCCTGGTAATACGACTTATATCAAGATGTTATTGATTCTAACATTTACAATTACATTAATCCGATGATAAGCTTCACTATGAACATACCCATAGTACAGGCAGTTAAAAACATCAAATGTCCCTAGTCCATACACACAATGCTATTAGTTTGGTGGCTAGGGCCAATTCATTAAATAACTTTTTGTTATTTTATTTTACAATCGGGAAATGGTCAAGACAAACAATAGCTGTCAAGAAATTTGGTAAAAATTAAGGAGACTAAACTTAAAATTTTGAAATATCCTAAGGGATCAACTCTAATATGACTATGCTTGCCTTCAAGATTACAGAATGCAATTTGAAATTTGAAGTTCTTCTGACGGTCCTTATTTGATAGTTATATTACTTTTGATTCTTTATTTTAGGGTCTTTAGATCATTAGCAAAAATATACAAACTAGTTAAGTATTGCTGTTGTCTTGTATACTATAATTTATGTTTATAATAATAAGGAATTTAAGACCAATAAAAATCCTTTTTCACTTCATAATTCAGCTAGACAAAAACATTCAAACTAAAACAAACAAAAAATGGACAAGCTTATTGAGCATCAAAAACAATCTCATTGACTGCCATAAAAGTTTTAAAAAAATACCAGCTAGAATACATTAAGTTTTTTTTAAATACATAACTCACAAATTTCCAAGATTTTTTTCAGATAACCATATTGACAAACTAAATCTAAAATACAACACTAACAGAAGAGTATACTATAAATACTAACTAAGTTCTTTTTTAACACGTTAAAAGTATACTCAATTCTGAAATAATCTAACAGTGCATGGTCGACACAAGAATACTACTCAGATACTTTCTGAAAAAAAAAAAAATGACTAGATGCATATTAAAGAGTGGTGAACTTACACAGTGGGTGCCATCCTCCATCTTGAGAAACCACTGCAACAATTCATAGACTTGGATTGAGTCGATGATATAAAATACATTTACAAGACAGTCCAAATAGTATTTTTAAATAATCATTCACATTTAAAGATTATCTTTTCTCATTTTTTTTTTGTTTTGTTATGGTTACAGAAAAAAACAGTATTGCTTTGTTGCTTTGAAAAAAGTCTCAAAATTGTTGCAGGGAAAATGAAATGGAAAAGTTTTAAATAATTAATGGGAGCTTAAGAAAATTAACAAAGGTGTCAATAGATTTGCAATAAATTTCATAATCTAAGGAAAAAATATTTCTTTAGGTATTTAGGGTTTCACAGCTATTCAAATCCAAAGTGTTGAAAGAGCTTACAACACTGTATCATATGACATCATAAACGATTTATGTCCAAAAATAATTTATTTACATTGATAAGGAAACAGTTAAAACAAAAATACTGACAATGCTCCCATTAACTGTGTATGAATGAAAATGAGGTGTCAAATACATATATTTGGTGTAAAAGATACGTAAAATGATGTTTTAACAAGCAGTAAATATGATTTGGAAATTACCCTGAGGTACGACTGGTAGGAGTCATCTGCTATCAATGAATCTATTACCGAAGCATCATCCTCATCGCCTGTCATAGACTCGGTCTCTTGGTTTCGAAGACACCGAGGACAAATATCACCTGGTGGCCTGTTAGGTAACAATATATCAGGTGACTTATTTTCTTTTAATTAAATTGTTTATATAATATAAATGATTAACAAAATACAAATATTTTATTTTAAATATATATCTTTTCTTTCCACACTTATTTTCCTTCAGGTCAATTTAATAAGTCAAATAAGTGTGGAAAGATATTATAAACTCTTACTGACCTAAGTGGCTCACTGTTGGCCAATATTTCTTCTTGTTTCCTCTGCATGAACAACACCTGCTCTTCAAGCCTCAGATTCTCCTGAAATAAGATCAAATTTAACAATAATAATAATTGTTGAAAAATAAATTTTAATAAATATACAGTGACTGTTTGAGCACTTTAATTAAATTATGTATCTAAAGAAATTTTTATTTGAAGTTTTACATGGCTTACCTTGGTCTGACATATATATACACTTACACGTGGCCTAGAGATTAATTTTTGTATTGTATTTTAATTTTTATCTAATAAACAAATTAAATCAATATTGAAGTTTGTTTTCTTTATATATTCTAATTAGAACGAAATTCCTATAGTAGAATTATAGAATTCTACTATAATTTAAATTTTTGCACACTAGATCAAGGACTACAATACCTGTTTTCGATGATTGTACTTCTTAAAACACTATAAAATCTATAGCTATCCTTGAACATATCCTAATATTCCATGCCTCTTTGGCAATTACAAATTTATATACATAGGTATTATTTAATTTTTAAAATAAGAATTTTTTTTTGTAAATGTAAAATATTTTTATTCAATAGACAAACATTTTTTAACTTTCCTACCACTACTAGGTATGGGAAGAATTCTAATCTGGTCAAATGTGCGATTTTAAACAGATAAATACATTTCAAATCTCTCTGTGTCCAAAAAAAGAATTTCACCTATTGGGTGTTTGTACCATGATTATTAGAGGGTTACCGATTTTGTTCCTTCTTTTTATAATTCATAGCGTTTCAATCACCAATCTCTGTGAACCAAATCGAGCTCTCCCAGCACAATTAGAGAAAAATCTATTTTCCATAGTCCCATAACATCTCTAACAATTGTAATAAAACTTGTCTATTATGTATTACATTTCTAATGAAAATTTCACATATATGATATGTTATAAATATATATGCTTAACATTAATATCTTTTAAAAATCACACATTTCCACAATAATATTATTCTATTATTTTTTTTTTGCTATTAAAAACCTAAAACATAAATTATTAATAACATACCTTTATTTTATTTAAATAAAATAAAATTATATACCTGTGTAACATAGTCTACAGTTGTCTGGAGCTCACGGAGCTTGGCTTGGTGTTTGCCAACCTCTTGCCGGGCAGCAGAGAGTTCTTCACGAAGCTGTTCATCGCCACTTGCAGCTCTGTCACCCTGCTTTCCTCCACCACTTCTTCCTTCCAGAAGCTGGTTCTTCTCTTCTATATGCCTCACCTGCTCCTCTATACGCCCTTCCAACTTCTCTACTTGCTGCTCTAAACTGAAACAGAAAATTTAACCATAAAAACGTTTTTCATACAGTTCTTTCGTGATTTTTATAACAACAAATTATTCAAAATTTATGAAAAGCCAACAAACATTTCTTGTTTTTACGAGTGTTAAATAGCAATAGTTGTTCATTCCTTTACTAAACCTTACAGTTAAATTTTACAGATGTATCAACTCAATTAAAATAAGTAAATTCACTACAATATACTTTCAAAATCCCATTATCATAATAGTACTGAATCCTAAAAATAAAAATTATTTACCACCAGAGTTAAAGACATTAAATCTTATCAGTCTTCCTTGATGGGAAATGAGCAGCATATCTTTATTTAAATGTCTGAATGCTGCAAACTCTTGCAAACTAATACCAGATAGGTAGAACATGAAACATTCAAATGAAAATTATATTATTTACATCCTGTCTATTCATAATCAAAAGTCACATTATAGTGATATTTTGCCAGAATAATTTGCTCAGGAGTCTTTTTAATAACCCTATTATTCAAGCTTGTCTTGAACTCCTATTCGTATTTTGTTTGTTAATAATTAATGTAGCCATTTCACAATAAGATAGTTTTTCGAAGTAACAATCCTTTTTCCGGCTGTCGGGAGCGATGGATTTTAATGAATGAAGTATTATCAAACGAAAAGTTTGAGTTAAGTTATTAAATAAAGCAGTGACTAATCATAGTTACATCACAAATTTCAGGAAAAAAAAGTTATGAATGAAAAGAAACTTAATTTGCGATTAACTTAAAAAGTATACATTTTTTTCTTGATTGGTCCTTGTAGATTATTTGAAAGTTTACTTAATTCACTAAAAAACAAAACACAAATCATTGAAAAGGACCATTATTAGCCAAAATATAGCCTTCAGTAAAAATGGTTTGGTTTGTTATTATGATTGAACTACAGTGATTTACCTGGAAAAAATAAAATTATTTCCTCTGTACATAATACATTGCATTACAATTGTTCACTAGCCAATACACTATGCGAATTATTCGCAGGACCAATTAGTAAAGATTTAATTACGGTTATTTAGCTCTGGAAATTCTAGATTTTCATTTTATTATTATTTTAAATATGCGTGGTTTAATATATCTACTATTATAAAATATAAGGTGAAACTATGCATATTTATTAAAAACACACCATAAGTTGGATGTAAAAGCAAACACATGCGGTTCAAAATATTTTATGATACTGTTTCAAAGTTAAAGATTTTCAAATATCAATCATGGCAATGCATTGAAATTTCGCTATACAATTTATCATAGCGTTCATTCCGTGTGCATTAGAGCTGCCTTCCACCTTCCTCAAAAGATTTCGCATACCTCTCCTAAGATAGTTGATTGCTTGCTTCTTCTTAATAACAACTTGATTAAAAATAGAGTTATAAAAATTGTAGTGGTAAAATAAACCTTACTCATAAAGAAACCCTGCGATAAACGGCACAACCTTATTTCAACGTAATGTTAGAGAAAATAATTTATCATAAAATAAAATAAACTGAAATCAATAAAAAACTGATTTCTAAATGGAACATAAACGGTGATAATTATTACTCAAGAGTTAAATATTTTTAAATAATAGCAAATCAAACATTTGAGATGTATCATACTACTTCCAGCATACATTGGGAGGAAAATAAAAAATGAATATAAAGAGCGTATAGACCTACATAAGGAGAATCATATCATTTCTTCAAATGATAATTTCAATTACTGTAGAAATTATAAAATTTTCGATTAATCAATAACAAATGTAAAAAAGTAAATGACCTTTTCTGAAGAGAAATAGTAAATGTTTAAAACTCTATAACTCTGCAACTAATCGTCAGATTTCGATGATTTTTTTTTTTATTTTGTAGAGAATTCAGGAATCTTTCAAATGAATATGAGTATTATCGATCGAAAATTGTGTACTTTTATAGTTAGCGGCAAATAAAATTTTGAATTCATCGTAACATTTTGTCCACGGGCGGATATACGGAGAGGAGGAGGAGGGGGGGGAGCTTTCGGGCTGAAACCCCCCCAAAATGGAAAATTATAACCATGTTTTATGGGGAAAATTTTTTAAAAATACCTCTTAAAGTATTATTGTTCGTGTAATTACATTTAAAAGGACTTAAGGAATCACTTAAACACCATTTCATATAGGTAGTTAATTTCTTTCTGTTTTTCCAAAGTAATTATCGTTATTTTTATGAAAAAAAAGGTTTCGGGCTGAAGCTCCTCCCAAAATTAAATCCTGAATCCGCTAGTGATTTTGTCAGGTTGTTTTCGGGAAAGTATGTTATGTACATAAATTAAAAGGGTTTCAAGGAGAAGAATTTAGCCAAGTTTCGTTAAAATTGTTTTGGTTTTGTAACATTTTAATAATGGTTGTATAATAAATATTGTTTAATATTTGTAACATAAAATTGGTTGCGCTACATTTTATAGCGACACGTTTTCCGGCCGCCATTTCGAAACGAAAGGCCGGATGGTAATAAAATGTTCAAAAGCACTTCTGAAATCGATTGTAACACAGTGTCAAATTTTCAAAGCAATCGGTAAATTTTTTAAATGTATATATTTTTATAACTTATCATATCAATAACTAATTTGCCAATCTTACCCATTTCTCATCTTTCTATCATCTAATTTTTTAAAAAGGACTTGTCATAATTTTTATTATTCCTAAAAATGCAATCTTTTTTCCTGTGCTATTATTATTATTTGTATGTAAGTATCACAGATTCTAGTCTAAATTTATTTACATACCTTAGTTATATTGTGGATTCCTCTAAGGAAATCCTAGTCAGACATTGAACTAATTTATGTACTAAAGGTCAAATAAATTAATAGTACATTAATTAAGGGTAACTGTAAACTGTCATTTAACTTTATAGATAAATTTGCAAGCGTTGATAACCTGGATGTTTTACGCCTTGAAACCCCAACAAACAAACTTAACTTTATTCATATACCTTATACTTCACTAGTAAATTCAGTAAATACAAAGCTTGATTATAATCACTTGTTCCATTCACCGAGCGATTTACATAAGCAATTTCTTTCAGCTCACGCAACCCTGAAAACTTATTGATAAGCTGAAACCTTTTTAGGCCCGAGGAGAACGTAATACTTTCTCTATTGTTGCACGAAAATTACTGAAAGTCATATTAAGCAGAAAGTTTTAAAGTAGCTATTATAAGGCTATACTCGTTCATTTGAAGGGTCTGTTTATGGCTGACCAACTGCAGGCTAATAGCTTCAAGCGTATAAAAGACGTAAATTGTTAGTTGAAAGGTAAAAATAAATAACGATCTGCCGCAAAATGATGAAGGCTTTCCGCCTCGGCTCCTAATACGCCAGTCCTTCGCACACCATCAACTTCCTGCAACTTGACGATCAAGAAGCCACCCTCTCACCCTCAGGGTACTTTCTCCGGCAGGAGGGTGAAAGGTAAGTACACGCGAGATGGAGGTAAATGATTTGCAGGCAATTGTCTCCTCACGTCGAGGCAGAACTCCGGGAAATGTCGATAAACAGGGGAGGGATACAAATAGAATTGATTACAAAACATCATCTTTTAGATTTTTCTAACGAAGAAAATGATTCCTTAAATTTAAATCCTCATAAGCAAGATAACAGTTTCGACAGTCTCCATTCACCAACTTAACGAATATAACTGAAGCTTCCGTTTCCTCGATTGAAGCTCGCTCATAAGTTAACTTTGAGTAACTACGGCATTATCAAAAATAAAACAACTTTTAGTAACATACTTTAAATACAGATTACCAGCTGGTTGCCCAGAAAAAAAATCTCTGGAATGAACTTGAAAGGGACATAATAATTAATCCTCTAATTAACAGAAAGGGACTAAAGAATAGCTAACTGGAGGCAAGGAAGGAAATCGCGTAGCCAACTCTTATCAGAAATACAGGTGCAAGAAGAAACATCAACAATTAAAACTTTATTTAATTGCATAAATAAATAATTAAAAAATAAATGAATTATAATGCGATATAAATATAACATAGATTTATGCAGATTATACTCAGCTTTCTTTTACAGATACATTTTTTTCCGCTTTTTTAGATTCATCTCAATTCTACTCTCAATCTCCCTTCATGGGTTTTAGTGGTACAGGTTTTCTTTTTTCTTTTTTTTTTTTTTTTTTTTTTTTGGGAGGGGGCTAATTATCTTTCTAAACATTCGTTAATGGTCTTAAAATAAAATTTTTAATTTGCATATTCAATCAATTAAATGTTTTCTTCTTAGACTAGTCGTTAAAAACACTATTTCCTTCCCTCTATGCCTCAGTTATTTATTTTCTCGAAAATAAGAGTTTTCCACTAATAACACAATTATTATCTCACGTATTTGCTAATGTAACATATTGCTAGAGATAAAAAATCAAAATTTAGGTTTATCTGTCGGTCAGTCTGTGGTCAAATCCAAGTGACAGGCAATGACTTACTACCGTTTATTCTATTTTCATTAAATTTTCTATTATAAAAAATATTAAGACTACGCGACCTACAGCCCCAACATGTCAAATAAAGAAGTGCCTATATAACCTCTTTATTTTGACATAAACGGCCCATTTTTTATCGATTTTGTGGTTACATTATCTTACGATCCAAGTGGAAAGCAAATGGGTATTTACTAGTTTTTATAACCTAATTAAATAGACAAAGTTTGCCGATCTCCGAATTGAAAACGCCCCAATTCCAAAAATATTCGTAAATAAAATAGCTGTAGGTTACTATGAGATGATGCTATTTACGAAGTTTCAGGCGGATGTTAATAAATTGATAAAAAGGGATCTGTACCAAAGACGAGTGTGCAGTGTATTTATAAACTTGTGCATACACATAATTATAATACACAAAGTATATTATAAGCGTAATAATCTATTATAGAAACAATCTGGTACTATTTTTATTTATTTGTTTATTCAAATAGTTACTTTACTCACTTTGAAATTTGTTTCTTGTCGGCTACCCCTTGTGCCTTGAGCCGGTGGTTGCTGGTCTCCAGTTCTTGGATGCTGATCTCCAGCTGTTCGTAGATCTTCATCCTCGAATCGTTTACTTCCCTCAGGGCCAACGTTTGCTTCCTCAAGTACTAAGAAAAGAAATATAAAAAAAAAATCAATATAGAACGTATTTCTACAAATACAAAGATTTATTATGGATGTTTGACTACAATTGAAATGTAATGTAAATAAAAAAATATTTTATACAATTAGTAAAGGTATTATTGACGAAAAGCAAAAAGTAGAAAAAGAAACACAACAGAATTATAATTAATATCAAAACATTTTACGGGATCAACTTCTCGAACCACTAGACCATCAGAACCACAATATGTAATGAAAATAACCCCTTCGTCTAATTTTCAGATTATTAAGATATTCTCAGTTACATATATGTTTACAAATAACCGAACGACAAGACCTCGAAACCTCCTTCGGTCATCTTTTGGAACTGACGTAAAAACTTTTAATTAAACTATTTGTAAATTTAACTTGGACACTTTATTAATTTCATGTAAGTTTACTATGTAATATTCAATATTCATATTAAATGTACTCGAAAGTCAAACATTATGAAAAAATTAATAATGACGAGCTGAACTTATGACTTGATTTTTATCTCTATGAATATGCCGTATAAAATAATAAAATTTCAAATATTTAGTTGATTAGTATTATAGTATTAGTAGACATATAAATGATGCCAATATCTCGTAATAAAGAGAGGTATTTATGAATAGATAAATCAACCTTGAAGTGTAAGTGCAAAGTGAATAAAAATTCTATTTATCCACCTTGGTGTTAGTGGGCCACTAGACTTCTTGAGGGAAATTGCTCGTTGGCTGCCAAAGAGGTAAGTGGTACTTCCAAGTAGTAATATATCTTCAGCACGGCATTTCATGACGTCACACAGGCTAATTCCGGACTCACGCCATCGAAATGAGACTAAACAATGGTCCCTCAATCGATAGCTATTGTTTTCAGAGTTCCTTTTCTTTTTCTATAAATTTATATATTTTTTTTTTTGGACTTAAAATTGCGAGTTCTAAAATAGAAAAAAAATTACTATTTGCACTATCAATGAATATCAACAAAGCTATATATATATATATATATATATATATATATATATATAAGTTTATTTTTTAAAAGAAAGTTGTCAACTTTCAGAACTCCCGACTTTAAATTGAGGAATAAACAAATTTTGTCATATAGGTTTTACTTATAACAATTCCGATGCTTTTTAAAAAATGTTTTATTTGAATTATGAAAAAAATATCATCAGAATTAATTTAAAGGAAAGCTATGTAAAAAAAAATAGGTTTATATCTTCTCTCTATTTATATCCCACATTTCCTATTTTAATTTATGATATTGAAATATTTCGAAGCTATGATAGTTGTGAACAATAACTATTTGTAAACCGGAACCACATATAACCTACAAAATGGGGACACTAGGATCGTAAACGATAGAAAATACGCATGTGAAGTATGAGTATTATATTCATGAATTTTACAACTTCCATAAATTATTGAGTTGTAAAATACAAACACAATGAGAAGCAAACACCTTTCACATTCTTACCCCCAATCCCCTCCCCTCTATTAAATGATTAGTAAATTAATTAAATTATGATGTGGAATATTACAGAGAAGGTTTCTTTTTCACTCTAATCCCACATATATTATCTAAAAGCCAAATGGAAATATACAATAATAGGTGAAATACAGATGATCAGAAGAACTTTTCTTTCTCATTATTTTCTAAGGAAAAATAAAATATGATTCAAGTCGCTGCAGAATTATATTTGCTTAGCGTGAAATGGGAGCATAGAGGTTTAAACAGCTGGTTAGGAAAACATCTGTTGTGATATAGGTGGCCTTTGAGCCAATTAAAAAGATAAACAGAAACTCGATTCCACTTGTATGGGTTTTTATTCTGTATTGAGAGTTTGAGCTAGTTAATTGATTTTTAAAGATATCGGCAAAAATATTTCTTTTAAGTATGAAATTTATATATAGTTTAGGAAGTTATTAAAGGCTAAGTCGTGAAAGAGTGGGGGATCAGGAGTATAGTAGAAGATTGGGAGCGGCCTTTACTAACTGGCCAAGGACGTATAACGTAGTTAACGGTATTTGTATAGAAGGTGGTTGGAAAAATTAGTGAAAAATTTTTGAGAAATTTTTTTGTCATTTTGTAGGGAATTTAGTAATATTTTATATAATCATTGGCATAACCAAGGGTAAGGTGTGTAATTTTTCAGTTATTCGCAAATAAAGTTTTTTTTCTTTCAAAACTTGTTTGTCTGAATTTTCGGGGTGATTGGACTATGTTGCCCGCCTGAAGGAGAAGGAAACCTTCGAATTGGTGGCTCAATCTTGAGATTTGGTGAAAAATTAACGATGATATTGCTTGCCGATCAAAAATACCAACGATAAATAATATAAACTCCTCCTCTCTCGATCATAGAGACCTCAAGTCGACGAAATGAGACATGTATTCAATGACAGTACTACAATTAATGTAAGGTTATGTGGATGCGAACCATATGCTTTGCGTTATCTAGTACGTTTTTGGGTTTAAAAACGTAGGATTCGATAGTTCCGGAGGAATTATCCGGGTCTTGCTGTACGCATCAAAATCTTCAATATCCAATTTGTCCCGTATCGATCTACAGACCTACCACTGTTCCAGTATTGAAGCCTAACAAATTTTTGTATCGACTTTATTTATTTTAGAAAGAAAAACAAAAGTACGATTCGCTAACCCACCATGAAATTCTGAATCCAACGGTACCCCATTCATGGTATTTGAGCATGACAGGAGCTTATATTTGGTACAAAACCGATTTCGAGCCTTACTGTAATAATATATGTGGGGATAAGGTATCGTCAAAATACCCTTCCTCTTGAAAATTTGAAACGTAAAATCGTGGTGATTAACAATATAGTTATTATTGGGGAGGCCTTTCATCCAAGTACCTATCCTGATTTACTTCGGTTACCTTTTATAACCTGATAACCCATCTAGCTTATAATATGAGTAAAAAGTATAAACAAAAATTAATTGTTTAAAACAATTCATTTTTCAATTAAATTAATAATAATAAAACGCAGGATGTGTATTTACATTTTTCGATACTAAATTTGTTCTCACCTTCCCGAGGGGGGAGGGGGGAGCGTGCGCCCCCACGCCTCTCCTCTAGACCCGTCATTCCTCCATTCCTAAACATAATGAATCCCGTAAAATTATCCAAGGCCATGAGAAAACTATTTCTGTAGGAACAGATTTTGCAGGGATCGGAAAAAGTAAGCTTGCAACAGGTCTCCTTGGAACAGTTTCAGATTGCACAATGAGAGGAATGCAGTTATCAAGATAGAAAGCATCTATAGTACATCTTGAATTCCAACCTACAGTCGATATTGCGTCTGTTTCAACAGATCAATTATACAAATGATACCTTAGTTAATTTTAAAAACGGGGACTTGATTAGACAAAGAACTCACCGTAATAAACAAGTTTTTAAAAATAAATCCGTCAGTATAGAAGTGATTCAACATATGTGAAGTACTATATAACATTTTACAGTAAATTGTCTTATCGCTATCTAGGAAGAAAATTGACACAACGCAAAATTTATTAAACGATCTAGTTTTATAGAGACCCATATAAAGTGACTAAAATAATTCGAGTTTTAGAGTAATGTTCTCTTAGGTGTAAAGATGAGACGTTTAAGGGTACTTGTTATTCATCTTAATCGGTATTTAAGTTTGATTTAAAACAAACTATCAACATAAAATATATAATACTAGTTAAAAAGCAACCATTTATTTTTATTTTATTTATTCATGATATTTACAACTGTATTAAAAAATTAAATACAATTAAAAAATTAAATACAATTAAAAAATTAAATACAGTTAAAAAATTAAATACATTAAAAAATTAAATACATTAAAAAATTAAATACATAAAAAAAAATTTAAAAAAGCAACCACAAATTTACATTTGCACGTTCGTTAATGAAGTTCTATATTCTAGAGCCAATAATTTTTTTTTTCTAATTAATTGATAATTCTGTTTCTGATGTTCACGCAACTGCGATAGCATATTTCAAATAAACGAATTAATACAAATGTATAAAATATTCCATTTTAGTTTCATTGAAGAAAATATTAGATATACAGACGTTTACTGTGGGACCATGGAACAATTAATTAAGAATTGTGCGAATTAGAGAATATTAAGATATTTAATATAAAAATTAGTTATTTTAATATTGATATCATTTTGCTATGTAAATGAATATACATCACTTGTTTGACTGAAAGCGTTCAGAATTTTTTTTAGTTCGTTGACCGATCGAATTCAGTATGTGATGAGACAACTTTAGGTATATAGACGGCAGGCAATGAAAACGTCGTAACTCCATTTGGTAAAATCACAAGGAAAAAAATGTGTTTTTATGAACGCATCAAGTCGTACAGATTTGGTTCATTTAGTTTTCACAATATAACATTGACGGCGGATTTAAGGCGAGGGGCTAGAATAATTTTAGTTTTCAATGTTTGTTTCTATGAGAGTCTGTGATTTTATTAAATCACAGACTCTCATATTATCTGTGACGGATACTGAAACAATTGCACGTTCTCATTAAAATTTAAAAAATATACATCAGATAATAAATGTAGAAAAAATACTGCGATATATATGCGCATCACACAACTTTCACTTACCACCTTCTTAGCAGAAATAAATATTTTCAGACAAAGCGAAGAGAAAGTAAAAATTATAGACTATATATTTATTTATATTTCATTGTGAATACTTTTATTTGTATAAGTGCCCTCATATATACAAATTTTAATATTTATATATCTGTAATCTTTACAATTAAATATTAAATAATAACAACAATAGCCTTTAATGAAAGGCACGCATGTATATTTATATAATATTGTCGGAGTCCGTATTATATTAATCTCATGATACGTATGGAAGCGTATTCTAATCTTTCAGGCGAGCTTGGGTGCGCTTCTCTTCCTTGATTCCTCAATTAGTTATTCTCTATTACGATATCTTATTTCTCCTTTAGTTAATTATCAAATTCTTTCATATTTTTTATTTAACTATTTTTCATATTAGAAATTAATGTGAAACGGTCAATTGTTTCAAATAAAAAAAAAATTAAAGGTACTTAAAAGGAAGCTAATATTGAAAATTAGCCATTTAAGCTCTATTAGAGAACATCATTCAGAATAATAACCGCATTTTATTTAAAACTCCTTAATTTTATACTGATATGATGAATTTAATAAAAACCGTTAGAGCTGTTCACGAAATAATAGTAAAAATGTGTTTAGTCCACTACATAAAGTGATACTTACGGTTAGTACTGTACGGTCCTACTTAACATCACGGGCGAATCTACGAGGGAGAGGGGCTTTCGGGCTGAAGGCCCCCTCCCCAAAATGGTAAAACATTACCATGTTTTATCGAAAAAAATATTAAAAAATTATCTCTTAAAGTATAATTATTCGTGTAATTACATTTAAAAGAGCTTTAGGAATCACTTAAACACCAGTTCATATAGGTAGTTAGTTTCTTTCTTATTTACCAAAGTAATTATTGTTATTTTTATGAAAAAAAATAAGCTTTCGGGCTGAAGCCCCCCAAAAATTAAATCCTGGATCCGCTAGTGCTTAACATGCCTATCATACAAAACCCTTAAATATGTAATTTCACTTCCGTACGACTTTTCGTTTTTGAGCTAGACTGTTAACACACACACACACACACACACACACACAGACCATTTTGTGGGACTTAGTTATTTGAACTCAGGGGATCTCAAAACATGTTTTTCTGTAGAAAACTCAGATCCAAAATTGTTCACGATCGTAATACTTACTCTTACCACATATTACATACATAGGTAAAAAACAACACTGTGAGCGCCCTCGCCAAACTTGCGAACTCTTGTCATGTTCAATTGTGAAGCTAGGGAACATTCGAAAAGAAGAAAGAACATTTGGAATCAGCCTTTGCTCTAAACGATGTTATGAAGTTCAAATGAACTCACGCAAAGAAGATTTTAAACTAATTTTAGTTTTAACCTTCAGACTCTGGCATTAATCTCCTGCTCTCCCCCCTGGCCAGGAAAAAACTCGTATAGCCTGAAAGGCGAGGAAGAGAACAAAAAAAAAAACATTAATTAGAAGAAATGCTCTCTGAACTCTATTATAAGTGTCCTTAACTGAGACAGATTGTAATATTTCTAAATAATAATAAAAAAGTTAACAATAGTATGTAGAAGGTACCTCGATCTCTTGAGCCTGGTCCTCGGCGATGTTCTGGTGGTGCCGTAGCGCGGTTTCCAGTTCTTTGTTCCGCTCCAGGAGGGTCTTTCCCAGCTCCGCCGCCAGCTGCAAGTCTGCAACAGAAATACAATAAATTAATAGTAATTATATCTTGAAATAATTAAATATCAAATTAATTAAACAAATTAAAAAAAGTTTTCATTACGTAATAGTTAGATCTTCATCAAAAAATATGGATTTCTTAGTTCCATCTTCTGTATCTTTAATTAATATGTATCTTTTTTTTTACTATCTATGTTTCTTTTAATCTTCCGAAATAAATAAAATTATCTTAGTAGATATGTGTTGAATGGTCAAGATTTTTTACGTCTATATATTTTGTATTAAAAAAGATATATGTTAATTTCATAATAATTTAAAATAATAAATGTTTTTAAAAAACAATCTATTACTCTTAAATAGTTCTAAACATAATTAAAAAAAGTAGTAACTTTCTTAAATTTAATTTAACAGTTCATACTAAACTGAAACGACAAGAAACCCCTCGACGTGTCCGACTACTTCAGCACTTACTAGACAAACGCTCTAAACTTCCAATTAATTACAAAAGACTCATATACTTGACTATAAAGGGCTATTTGGGCTTACGGAGTTGAGCTATGGGGCTCCACTAAACCATCGAATTCCTCTCGTATCCAATCCTTACAATCCAAAATCTTTCGTAAAATCCTCAATGCTCCTACTTTGTTACAAATAAAACCATCCATAATGACCTTAATGTTTCTTTTGTTCCAGATCTGGCCCAATCCAGATACCTATCCTTCCATAATAAACTTAAGAATCATCTCAACCCTCTCGTTTCTAACCTTGCTTCCTCTTCAATTCCTGATAACCCTCCGAGGCGTCTGAAAAGAAGATGGCCCCGTGATCTCCTAATGTAGACATATCGTTAGAGTAATACCATTGGATAGTTACTCAGCAAGTGTTTTCATGTCATTATATCCATAATGTTCAAATTTACTAGATGTGTTTATTTAATACAGTTGTAAATGTCATTAAGAAACAAAAAAAAAAAAAATTTAACAATGATAAAAAATCACTTACAATGAAAAATCGATAAATATGGACTAGTACTGTGATATTATTTAATTCCTTTTAGTTTGAAATAGTATCCACAAAACTAAGTTTTTTTTTTTTCAACGTTCACAAGAAATCGGCTGACTTGATAAACTATGTTTCCTGTATTAGAACTACAAGAAGGTTTTAAGCTATATCAAAGGGATCCTAACGTTTTGGCCCGCGGGCCTCCACTATGTCCCACCGGCCATATTGAGATCTTATAAGTCCCGCAGGACACTTCAAGAAAGAAATGAGCCTGCTGAAAGACATACAGTAAATGTTGTAAATAACCTCGTGTATGAGTGATTTACTAAATTTCATATTTTTTTTATAGTTTTTGAAATTTTATCGTGTAATCACATTAACCTTCGTGGAAACTCCTGAGCTAAACGAACCTGTCATTAACCATTTCAGATCAAGATGGCGAAGGATCAAAAATCTAAATATTTAGTCTACTTTCCACAGAAAGAATGCTGAATAAATCAGATCAAACGTCTCATAATTTAAAGCAGAGTTATTTCGTAACACTAAAGTATGTATGACAGATGTATAGATATTTTATTAACACAATAAAAATGTCAGTACTGTGTGAACGCAAAATTTGATGCTCTACAACTTTGATTCTATGGGGTTTTCCTTTCAGGGAACTCATTTCCAAGTGACAGGGCCATTTATAGTAATTTGTCTCAGTTTTTTACTTGGATTTGGTAAAAATCAGCGTTGGTTGACCGTGGTTTTATACTTTACCACGTAACCAAATTATTAAGTTTATGTACTCGTTCGACGTAAAATTTAACGTTCTTTAATTTATTAAAGAATACATTTTTCGAGTTGGAAAAAAATTATGAAATATCTAAAAAATCTGTCTTTTTTTGGATGTAAAAAGTTTTCTCTTGGTGGCCTTCGTTAGAAATATTGTTTTTCACATGTCTAAACCCAAATATACATGTTAAAAAAATAAAAACTTTTCTCATATTTTTCGCAATGGATTTCCCGTTTCGATCCTCAAATTACTGGCATAATATTCTTTAAATCAGCCGCAATTTTTTAAAGCAGCGGCTCTGGGACGGCAGAACAAGGTTCTTTTTACTCAGAATAACATTCAATTTTGTAATTCACAATCAAACCTTCGCCAGCAATGAGGTCGATTTTAGGGCCCTGGCTTCAAGTCTATTGGAGCGGTGGACTACGACACACATAAGTTCCTATAATTTATTCCTTTTACACTAACAGGCACGGAGGCTTAGAATCCGAAAATTTTATGTATTCTTTACTTTTCATGAAAAATTCAGCAGGTTAGAAAATTAAATAGTTTATTTTTCCCTAAATGTTACAGACAACGAATATATTTAATTAGCTATAAACCATTGAAACCTTTGGGTTACGGATAAGCCATAATAAGACTATGTTAGAAGACAATAAAGAATAAAAATAGTAAACTCGTCCTACCAACAGAACATGTATTCTTAGTTTTAGTATTCTATATTTAGATAAGTCTCCTTGGTCTTGGTGATCGAATACAAATCGATTAAACATCAATTCGCTAAGACCTCTTGCCAGTCTGCTAAACAAGATGAGTGTAAGTATGTTTCAATGAAACTTTTTTTCTTGTGGCAAAATCAAAAAATACCCGAGGGCCCTTTCCAACAAAAATCAGCCAAATAAAAAATTGTTTTATATGATATTTTTTATTTAATATTTTTATACTATTATTTCCTACATTTATTCGAGAATGATTCAAATCAAATTCGCTTAAAAATTCATAACTCCTAAGAGTTAATACTTCATTTATCCTTTAAAACTTTGCTATACGTTAAAACGTTTCTTAGTTGGACTTGCCATATTATATAGTGAAGGGGGTACAAGAAACTTTGGAAACGTTCAAATAGTAATAAAAACTGACTAGATTATACCTTTTATTTTTTTTTTTTATTATGACCTTTTGGCAAATTTAAGATTAAACTTTAACGAAGAAAGGTCAAGAATTTAAATTAACCCTAAACATGTTTTCCAAATTCAACGCTACTAAGAATCATTGATCTTTGTTTTTTATGAGTGAGAAGAAAATGGTGCAGGATATGAAGAAAAAGTCCTGACATTTTTGATAATAAGTACTCCCAAAAATAATCAAAGGCACCAGGAAGGCGAAAACGTTGACCAAAACAAATTAATATATTGCAATAATCTTCATGATTAAGAGTTTTCTGAGAAGCGAGGAGCGATTTTTCTCAATAAACTAATATCTTGATTTATTCAATCTGCCAATCCAAATCGCTTCAATATTGTACTTATCGTAGAGCTATCTGCCAAAAATCATGTTTTTCCCCATCTCATTGGGATCGATTTGGATCTTGAATTTTTGGCATTACAACTGAAATTTAATTTTATTGACATTTTAAGAGTCGTATATTTAGAATTTTTGTGTTTCCTTGTTGGAAATGAAATGAAAAGAGAAAGTTCCAACAAATGTTTTGACATTTCTTGTCACCGCATGAATGTCATAAAAAAGAGACTTAAAAAATGTTTCGACATATTAAAAGAAAAGGGTAGTATCATATTATAGATGATACTTGCAGTATTTCTCTGTATGCGAGAATCTGTTTGATATTTCGGCTCTAAAATTTTACAACATTTAAATCATTAACACAAACTTGGAACAATATGGATAAACTTAGCAGAGGACAATATGAAGATGGCGAATCCGTACCTGGAAAACAATATACTAATAAAAGATAAGGATCGCCATTTTACTGCAGCGTTTGAAATAGTTTCACCATATTGTACGCCGCATTGTCAACCTCGTAACGTATATTTCTTTTGACAAATTAAATAAATTATAAGGAAAAATTAAAAATTGTTCTGAAATTTCAAGATGTGGTAGAAAAATTAATTCAAGGGAAAATGCGTTGAAATTCCTCATTTGATTCGCCATCTACGGGCATCTCCATTATGTGTAGGTATAATTAAATGTACGCGGTTTGCTTCAACATTAACTGCTTGTGGAAGGTTTTTTTTTTCCAAATCCAAGAATCAACATTCACTTTCTAAGGTTTGGGTTCCTCTTTAAGGACTGTGTCGGATGACCTCCTGAAAGGCCCATCAATGGTAATTGGAAAAGAGTAATTATTCAGAAGACAAATTAAACCAGAGAACGCTATGCAAGTGAAAGGATTTCTGGTTATTGCCATAAAGCAAGTAAATAATTCTCGCTTGATTTAAGATGTTGTAAACGAAGGGCAAGTCATTTAAGGAGAAAACATAAAATTGTTTATTTACTCGATAAATCCCAAATCGAAAAATAAATCATTTGTTATTAACTGTTACAACAGAATATTTTAGAAAAGTCTTATAACAGAATTAAATTTGTGCAAATATGGATTTTAGTTTTTAGTCTAGCCTCTTTTTGTTATTATTTATTTATTTAGAAATATAATAATCTGTCACGGGATAATAATTATAGTGAGAAATGAACACATTCACACCATATTTACAGAAAACATAAAATTAACGAAAGTAAAATAATAATCAAAAACTATGTACAATAAAAAATGAAATAACCTAAAGATAAGTAAATTATTAATAACAAGCCTCTAAATATTAATTACAAGTGTGCACCTGGTATGAGTTTGTTGAAAATAAATGACATCAGGTTTTCTTCTTGTGTTTTTTTTAATGTTCTCATCAGGTTTTAAAATATAAAATTATCTTAAAATAAACATATATATTTATTAAGTTTCTAACAGAACTATTTTTCAAGGATCTTTTCTTAGAATAAAATACGATCTTTTTAAAGAAATTATCATTTTCAGATCAACTATTCTTATATCATTAAAACAACGTTTCGAACGTTCCATTGGCTCGTAAACTATCTAAAAGTCTTCACGTTACCTTTCCTTATTCATCATCTCTAATAAATGCAAATGAATTCAACTAAGCAATGAAGGAGAAAGGACTGCTTGGTATATTAATTAATTGACAAGCATTTTATTAAATG